GCAAATAAACCTGATGTAATTATAACAATGTAAACATATCTTATTGCCAATGTAGAATTAAAGTTTTTTCTTATAAATAATATCTACAATACAATTTTATTATTCATGAGAATATATTGATTGTGTCTTTATTTTCATATATAGCTCTAATAGTAAAAAATTTAAAAATTCTAATACAAGATTATTAACTTTTGAGAAGTCAAAAGTATCAAATAAAAAATAATGACCATAATTAACATAGATATGTGTTTATTCAGAAAATAAATATATTATGTCATTTTAGGAAAAAATTTCCAATTCCAAAAAAGTTGTAAAATCATCTTGGTAGTAGTTGATGGTGCATTGAAAATATTGTTCTAATACTTGATTTACTTCATGTATTATTGACCAATTTTAAGATAAAATCCCAAAGTTAGTTTTATGTCTACTTTAAATAATTTGAAAAAGGTTTTTTAAATTCTAAATAAAAATTGAGTCTTTCAACTTGATATAATAGTTTTTGACAATTCATACTAATAAAAGATGGTTTCAAGATTTTTTTATTTTTTTATTTTTTATTTTTAAAATTTTAATTTTTTACTTATGATAATTTTTTGTACATAGTAAAAAATGTGCCTTTTTATTAAAGCAATATAATATTACAATTATAGAATCATAAAAACATAGAATTAAAAGATCTATGATAAAATCCATAGAAATAAAATACTTAGTTGTTTTACTATAAATAATAGGTAGAAAAGTTGATTAGATTAATAACAGAGAATTTATACTTAAAAAAATATATACAAATTTTTCAAAATTTTTAATTATCTTCTATATTTAAAAGCATCAAAAATGTCTTATTTAAGAATATATTGTTGTATAAAAAATGTCTTGTTTTAAAAAAATTATGATGAACTTAAAGAACACATAAGAATGTTCTATCTTTAAGAATACATAAGCATTCTTTGGAATAGAGAAAATTGTCCTTGAATTTAAACTTAGAAGTATCATAATATTTTAAAAAACTATTCTTAATGTCATGCATAAGAAGATCATATAACATACTTGAATGAATTTAATAAAAAAATAAAAAATGAATTAACAATTAATGTTAATTTTATTGCTTGAAGTTAAAATTTCTTTGCCTTTAAAAGAATTATTTATTATTAATTATAAGTTACATTTCCTTCTATTTGTACAAGATACAAATATCTCATTAAGACGTTAAACAAATCTTATTGTTTTTATGGCTAATAAATAATATTATATACAAATCTTCATAAAAGCATTGTCTAATAAGTTTGGTGATGATTTAAAATACATGCTTGCATAAATACTTTAAATTCTGGTGATTTATATAAACAATTATTAGATTAAAAACACCTTTTTAATAATGGTGCTATTTTTAAATTGATTCTACAATTACAAAACATTCTTTGTTGTAGATCTCATAGTTGATCTTGGTTGCTAAAAGGTTTTTTGAATGAAAAGATATGGGACAAAGTTTTTCATTTGCTTATGTTTGTGACAATATTACACCAAAGGCAAAGTTTAATGTACTTGTTTCCATAAAAATGGCTTAAAACAACTAATTTGATATAAAATTGGTATTAAAGTAATAGCTATTTTAAAGCTATAAATATTGCTTCAATTTCATTGTTCCACTTAAGTCTTTCTTCACAAGTCAAATGTATAAGTAAAGCTGTAATTTAAAAAAACTCTCAATAAAAATTTGATGGTTATTAATTAATGTAAAAAAAAATTGACTTATCTTAGAATTCTTATAATTTTTCAGTCCATAATAGGTCATTTGACATGTGTCGAATTCACAAGAGATATGTCTAACTTGCAAGATAAGTTTTCAACATGTGACCAATTTATAAAATAAGTGGTTGATATGTGCCATATATAGCCAACTTATTAGTCAAGTTATCAATTCATTGATGACCTAGCAATATTTGTAAAGTCAAATCCATGTTTATGGAGCTTCTCTATAAGATATTATTAATTTGACCTACTTTTATTTGTTTCTAGTTATCTCTTTTTATCCTCCTAATTACAAATGTAAATATTGATGTTTGTGATAATAACCTCTTATATGTAGAAAGTGTCAATATCCTCCTACCTATTTGCCAAAGTTTAATTCTATTTTGCTTCTAAAACAAAAAAATAAAAAACAAAAGTATATAAAAACATATAATTAATATATAATTGATTGTTATATCATTCAATAATCATTTAATCAAATAAAAAGATGGTACAAAATCTACTTTGATTTTTTTTAAATAATATATATTTCACTTTTAGAATAATTTTTTTTTGTATTATATTTTTTGTACTTTTAATGATTTTTTAAGAAATTTCACAAATTTATATTTTTTATTCAAAATAAATAAATTAAAACTTACATAAAATATAAAAATGAGACAATCAAAGAACCACAATAATTAAGAACTTATAAATTTAATATAACAATAAATGATTTTGGTAAATAGATATCTTTTTTTAGTCACTACTATATTACAAATAATTTTAAAATTATTCAATTAAATAATAAAGAAATTTGAACTTATAAATGATAAATTAGTAACAGAATTAATTTAATTTGGATTACTAAAAAATAAGTTTTTATTGTTAATTATAAATTGAATATAATTTAAAATTTAACAATAAGTAAATAGATAGAAATATTCAAAAAATTTACGTTATGTAATGTGCCAAATGATATGAATATATATATATATATATATATATATATATATATATTTTAAGATTTTAAGGTTATATTTTTATTTTTTTCATAACACTATTAAAAATATGTAAAAAGTAAAACTAAACCTGATGATTTAAATTTAATTTTTATAATAAAATTTTATTTAAATTATTTTATTTTTTTTAAAAAAAGATAATAATAATAATTTTAAATTATAATTGTTTTAATGTTTATTCAAATAATCCTAAATAATGATATCTTAGTATTATCAAATCATATAAAAATATTATTTAAAGATTTATGATAATTATTTTATTTATTTTTTATTTTTTATTATCGCTTTGGGAGAAAAACATTATTGACTTGTATCTATATGTGATGTTTTTTAAATATTTTAAAATTTATAAAATTACATATTATTTGTCATTTTTTTTTCTTACTATTTCAATTTTAAAGCTATAGGAATGATAATATAATATTTTTTAATTATATTTTAAATTATTATTGTTAAAAACTATTAAATAATTGATTTTAAAACAAATTAATGATTTTTTATATTTAAAATAAACTTATAATTTTTGCTTGAGTACTTCTTAATATAGTTTTATTTTTGCAGTGGATATGTATTATAGTATTTGTTGTTTAAAATATATATCTATATATATATATATGTGTATGTGTGTGTATATATATATACACATATATACATTTTTTTATTATGGATTTTTTTTTATATTGTACCTAAAGCTCAAATCAATTTATTTGAAGTGTAAGATAAATTTTAAATTTATCCAAGGTTGTGCAAAAATATTATTTTAAACCTTAAGCATTTAAAATAACATCACCACTTTATGTCAACCAAAGGAGTCATAACATTCTCAGATGATTACTTGAAGGTGATAATTAAAATTATATTTATAAATATTTAATCATATAATGAAATTACATAAAATTTATGTGTTTTTATTTTTTTCTTAATTAAGTCTAAATTTTTTTTAGAATAGTCAAAAAGAAAGTAAAATCATGCTATAGTTTTTGAAGTGTAACTTTCATTAAATTTTTGAATACAAAGTGAAGAACTAGATTAAATTCTTAAAATTATATTAGAATTCCTTTAAAAGAAAATAGTTTTACATTAATACTTAATAATGTGTACCTTCAAAATAAATTTGTAGGTAAAGACTTATCTAGTCTATGCTTAAAAAGTCTTTTTAAGAAATGTATAGACTTTTGAACTTTGTGTCAATATTAGAATCTTGTAGAGTAGCTCATTACTCTTATTAGCATTTGTAACTTTATTATATGGTGGTGGGGAATTTTAATATCTTTTAAGATACTATCCTAAACTTAAAGGTTGCAAAGAAAGAAAAAGTCTATTTTTTCTAATATAAGTTTTAGATATCACTTTGGGTTTTTTTTTGGTTTGCTTGGTCTTTTAGTTATTCTTTATATGAATGCAAGTTGCACTTATGATTAAAAAAAATGATTATTTTATATTCTTGTCATCTTTCAAAATTCAAATATCTTTCAATTTGTATAGAATTAAATTGTTATATTTTTATAGTAATTTAACCTAGATTATTATATATAATTGAGATATGATGCAATCCTTAAACTTTCATACTTCTATTTATATATTTATCCTCTCACAACTTATTTGTGTTTTTAAACTATATCCAAATTCACAAAACATACATAAAACATAATCGAAACATACAAACATACAACTGCTTAAAACAGCTAGTATGAAACTACAACCAAATTTACACAGACGATGATATAATTGATGGAAAGAAAAACCACAGATAAATTTACATGTGCAATGAACCACATTCTTAAAAAAGCCAAAGATTATTGCAGACAAATACTACATCACATTCTACACAACAATACTTTTTGCAAAACAACTTTTAGCAAAGCAACACCTTGCCCATAGAATAGATCCGCTTAATTCGTTGATTGTTGATTGAGTGATCCATTATTGCCTGGCCCTGTGAACTATCTTTCTTCCAACATATTTTGCCTAGATACATACCTCATGCTGGAGTTTTTAGTAAGACAAAGATATTGTATACCATCGAACCGAATCCAACAGAGATAAGTGCACTACTCTTGAGACATCCTAAAAGTTCATTGTAATTAACAAAAATACTCTCGTGAGATCCAACAATGGAAAGGTACTTCATATTCATAGCTTTATATTAGGTACAGGGATACATTCGAACATAGATCTTACATTTTCGAAGACTCAACATCATGATTCAGAAGGAAAACACAAAAAGAGTAGAGCACGAGAGATGACCCATTCTGATAATTAATAATTCAATTGACTTCAATAAGACTGCCAACTCTTGGCAAACAACAAATCCTGTAGTCAAAAAGGAGCGTAAGATAATCTAGTTCTTCACTTTGTAACAAAGTCAATTAGGAACAAAGAAAAAGGTAAGCCTAAAGTCATGAGCACAATGTTGCTTAGCTGCTGGTCATTCTACAGAGCAAGTGTGCTCAACTTCGTCTTAAGAAATCAAGAGAATACATATCACAAAATATTACAAAACTGTGAAAAAAGAGATCTTTTGATGTTCAGGTATCAATCAGTGTGATATGGGTTTACGATCACACACAAAAATTTGCTTGTGAGCTAGACTACAATGCATAACAATGCAAGAGAAGGTTCAAGATTTTTTGAAAAACCTTCCTCCTTTCTGGCCAACACCTGTGCCAGCAAGACCGGCTGCAAGCACGGATTTTGTGTCGGGGCGCCATGAAAACTCCTTCAGCGTCAGGAAACGATCGCAGAGAGCAGGGCTAAGTTCGGAGTCCCGAATATTGTCACAGAAAGTGACTCTTAACCTATTTAAATCCTTGAAAGATTGCACCACTGAGTCTACTCCCGCAGTTGTAACTAGAGAGCATCCCTCAAGGCTCAGGAGTCTAACCCTCTTGCAAGAAACTGTTAGGGCCAGAGTATCGTCATCTAAACCCCAGCAATCCTTGAATTCAAGCTCTCTAACTACAGCACACACGGCCAGCAAAGCAGAAAATCCAGCACGATCTCGCAAATCACATCGCTCAAGATGAAGGCGCTCTATGGCCGAACATCGACCCAAGCGGTCATGTGGACCAGGATTTCGATCGATCTGCTTGCAACCTTCCAGTCGTAATGTTTTTAAGCAAGCCAGAAAGGACAATGCAGCCACCCAGCCCTCGTAGAAACCTTTGTTTGAGAGGGTCAGCTCTTCCAACATCACACAGCACTTGCCGATAGCCGAGATGCCCTCGTAACTTGCTTCACAGCCACTAAGTTCCAACCTGACTAGTCGTCGAAAGGTGTGACTCATGATCGTGAGGCCAATATCCGTGAATGTGCAGTGATAAAACCCTGTGACAGATCCAATCAACCGCACTATCTGCAAGTTCTCGCAATCTGCTATGGCTCTCAGAGTCTCGTCCGTGCATTGGTACAAATCAAGCTCTTGAAGAAGCGGGCAATTCTTAGCTATACTCGCTATCCCGGTCTCTTCTGTCTTCTTCTTCAGATATTGTGTTCCCGATTTGGGCGTTTCAACAGAGCAATCCAAGTTTCCAGTCAGGGTTCCTCCATCAGTTTTCAAATCCTTCAAGACGTCTGCTAAAGCATCGCCAAATCTGTCTTTCGATTCTCTTACTTCTTTGACAGGTGGATTCTTCTTGTCTGAATCAGGTGTGCTAGGATTCTTCATGCTCTTCTGTTTCGACAATGTGCGAGACATAGACCGAGCTCGGCCAAAGTAATTCCCCCTTCTTACATCCACTACGCAGAGTCGTTGCAAACCAGGATAGGCATCGGCGAGGAGCTTCAACCCTCGGTCAAGCTTAGCGGGGGACAGCTGCTGCTCCTCGATGCAGCGTTCGATCGACGGCGGATCCACGGCATCGTAATTGAGCTGCACAGTAAGGCCCTGGTGGGTTAGCAGAATGGCGGAACCTGTCGGTTCTTGTGGAGTCACAATACAAGCGAGCGACAAATCCACATCAGTCAGATTCGGAAACCGCTGACAAATCCTTCCACTCTCCAAAAACGTCCAGTCCTGCACTTTGATCGCCTGCCTTAGGGTTCCGTGTAACCGCATCCATCGCTTGCACACAAGCGCGTGGTGCGGGGCGGGCGACAACCGCCGCAAGATGTTGAGCAAAACCTCATCGTTCAGTTGACAGAAAGGATCACCAGGTGGGGGTTTCCACGAGTCGTCAATCTTGTTCCCCAATCCTTTGCTCCGCATCGCTCCCCCTAGCGCAGCTTTTAACATACCTTCACCTCCCTCACTGTGCCACTCTCCTAGCCCTAGCACAGCCTCCACCATCAGCCCCCTCCCAAATCCTCAGCCCCGCACTCTCCACCCTCGCAGCAACCTCTGCTTCCCCTTTCCACATCCCTCACTGGAGTCACCTCCGCATCAAACCCAATTGCCTAAGCTCTGTACACTTCGAAATGCCTCCACCAATCGCTGCATTGAATCCCTCCTCACTCTGCAAGCGACCAAAACCTCGTTCCCCCGTCGATTGTGAACACGTGATCTTCCTGAGCGCTGAAATGTGCAAACGCTGCACAGCGTTGCCACGCCCGACTACGGGAAAAAACTCGCAGAGTTGGTCCAAAATTTAGCAATGACTTGTGGACCAACTTATTAGCCACGCTTCTAAGCACAACACGACGAGGTTCCAAGGGAAGTAACACTCCGCGGTGACCAAAGGCTTGGCACGAATCTCAATGCGTCCACAGCCTCGTTCCCCAGTGTAGGGATGCGTGGCCGCGTCGGCGGCTGAAATTCGCTCGGGTCCCACCTCGGTGAATTTGTGGCATCCAAATCACTACCCCAGAGTTGGAAATGCAGCTGCAAGATCAAATCAGTAATCGCGCGGGACGTGGTACAATCTGAAAAAAATAAAAAAATAAAAAAATAAAAAAACTTATAAAACTCTAAATCATGATACAGCATTCCAGAGGTTTATTTTCTACAGTTGGACATTATCTCTTGTGCTTAGACAAATGTTTTGTTACGTTTTATGTTTCCGATCCAATTTCCATGCCTGCGCATTTATACCGTTTGCCCTCTTGCACCCACTATTTTAATTGCAATGTACATGTGTTTGAGCCCCTCGAAGTAAATTCTCATGCCCATGATACTTAGCCCAGTTTTTGTGTTTCATTGCTTCAGTAATATAATCCACTCTGCAATATTGCTGAAAATGGTTTTGTTAAAAGTGAAAATAAGTTGGAAAGCCTGATTTTCTATTAAGTAGAGTGAGTTTGCAATATTAGGCCTTCCTGCTCAAACGGCACTAGGTAGGAAATGGGATAATCTATCTCCAGGTTCAGAGATAGAAACGAGAGAGCGCTATACCCGATTGCAATTTTGCCGCACCAGCTTTCCGTAATCACCGCACCGCCGATACCACCCTTGATGTCCGGCCTAAAGCAGAGTTTGTTAATGGAGATTCAATCTGCGAAAAGCGGTGACGTTCCAGAGGCTGTAAGGCTGGTCGGGTTTGAAGGGGATCTTTGTGGCTTGAGCAAATTTGGAGCTCTGCGTAATCTGCATTTCATCTTAAAAGTCGATCTCGTTGCACTTCCGCTATCGGCACCTCGTGGGAGTTACAGTCCGTTGGAGAAGTTCGATTGGTTGGACTTGCAGCGAGTGGGAGAATTATGAAGCCAATTTCGTTACTGCTGCTGTGCAGCGTGATTCTGGCAGCTCAGGTGGCGCGTTGCAGCTCTCTTGTAGCATATTGGACCTTGTGATGACGTGGGGGCGTGTTGAAGAGGGATCTTGTGTTTGGTTGTGCGGGGTATTAGGGTGGATTGGTTTTGTGTATGATTTTAGTTTTTGCACTAGTGAATGTGACTTGGTGTGCACTTGTAGGGTTGTGGTTGTAGACTTATTAGAAATTTGCGTACTCGATGTGGGGATGAAGGATTTGGCGGTTTTGTGGGTGGTCAACTAGATAGTGTGCATCAGTAAAGTTAAAATTACGCTATTTGGACAATCCCCGGGTGTAGAATCCCATTCTGTCACGTAGGTGAGGTTATTGACCTTATATCTCTGTACCCTTTGTTGTGTGGTTGTATATTTTTGAGAAGTGAGAAGTGCTTACCTACGTGAGATTCGCAGTTGTCCGTTGTCGTAAGCCTTTATGTAGTGTAAAATCTACCAATCCATGTGTCCTCTTTGTCAATTCATATTGCCGTGTGGAGTTATGATGGATTTGTGTTTTTGACCGGATGCCGCTATCTTTGAGGTTGATTGTCCTTTTCACATTTGTGATGTCGAAACTTTGTGTATGGAACCGTGAATGTGGATGATTGGGTGGAGTCTTCTAGGTTGCTATTGATTTCCTGTAATTGGGATTGTTCACTTACGTCGGGTTTGTTTATTTGATTGCAGGCTGCTAGGGTCGAGCCTGACCTACTTGAAAGCAAAAGACTCATCCATCAGGTAACCACATTTGTGTTAGGGTTACCTGGAATCATCCGCGGTCTACCTTTTCATTCTTTGCTGACAATTTCTGGAATTTGAGTGAACTTGTTTTGCACACGTCTTGCATAATTACTAGAAGTAGGGATGTTAGTGTAAAATGTTTATCCTCCACTGTAACACTCATTTTGCTCTGTTGTGGATGTGCAGCAACTACTTGTCGACAAAGTTAATGCTCATCCGAGAGCGACATGGAAGGCTGGTTTCAATGATCGTTTCGAAGGACACACTGTACGTATCAATCTGCTGAATTTTCTTAGTCTCAGAAGTTCACTCAAGTTAGTACATTTTTGTGTTATTGGCGATGTTTTGTGGGTGAAACGATTTAAAAATAGGAGTTTCTGTAAGCGTTTTTTAACCGTCGTTTCTGAACGATGTGCATTCAGATTGAGCATTTGAAGAAGATATGCGGTGCCAAAATGACACCCGCAAACGAGTTGGAGCCCTCGATTGAGAGGGTTACTCATAAGCACAAGAAGCTAGTACTGCCTAAGGAATTTGACGCTCGTAAACACTGGGGTCATTGTTCGACTATTGGAGCTATTTTAGGTGTGTTCAGATGTTTTGCAAGTTTTTATTCGAAGTTGTTATTCTGCAAGTTTTTCGGTTATCGCGTACAATTCGGGTTTCTTGGTTTTGCCGTGAAACGCTAATGACAAGTGATTATGTTTCATGAGGTAACATTGTTCACTATGTATGCGAATGTGGCTATAGTCTGACACATGAGCTAGTTGGGTGTGTCTGCTGATATTGTTGGTAAAATCATGGTTTATTTCAGATCAGGGCCACTGTGGATCATGCTGGGCTTTTGGAGCAGCGGAATCATTGACTGATCGCTTCTGCATTCACATGAATGAGGTAAGTAATCAACTTGAAGTCTATTTTAACTGTGATACACATATGCAATGATTTTACATTCATCTTCATTTTGGGGTGTTTCGATCGGAGACTGGCACATTGCTGGCTGAATCCTCTTGGACATAAAGTTCATGTAATCTCGACCTGGTTTAAGTGAATGGGGGTTGATAGAGTTTGAATTTTCGGTGTTGGTGAATCAGAGTGTGTCACTATCAGAGAACGATCTCCTAGCCTGCTGCGGATTTGAGTGTGGCGATGGTTGTGACGGTGGGTACCCCATCAGAGCCTGGCGATACTTCAAACGCACCGGAGTTGTGACAAGCAAGGTACTGTACCTCAGCTTGTACCCTGTGAACAAAAAATTCCACACAGTCTTCATATCATCCTTGTTTTGAACTTATTCTTATTAGTCTCAAGAATCAAAGAAACATAGACTTGTTGGCCGCATCGAGGTGCAACTGTGAGTTAGAATGGAGTGAGTGGATTGGGCTTTTCGTACCTTTCTTGACTTTTGCATTTACACTAATAATTTTAAGTCAAGAAAGGTCTCGATGTTTGAAAAGAAAATACATAAATACTATCCTTATGTATATGATGATTAGTATACATGCATCATGTGCTTATCGTGGGCACTTCGTTGTGTGTGCAGTGTGACCCATACTTTGATCAGATAGGATGCGGTCACCCAGGTTGCTACCCTACGTATCGCACACCCAAATGCGTGAAGCATTGTGTGGACGATGAGCTTTGGGTGAAGTCAAAGCATCTTAGTGTGAATGCGTACGAGGTATCTAAGGAGCCTGAAGATCTTATGGCTGAGCTCTACACCAATGGCCCTATTGAAGTCTCTTTCGAAGTTTTTGAGGTAACCGTCTTTATGGATTTAATTTTCCTTTCCGGGGGATAAAATTGTTGGTAAGTTGCAGGTATACTTGTGCAACTCGAATCGATACCATAGATACTAGGATACTCATCAGCTTTGTGAGTGAAATCTTCTGTTTCATCTCTTAAAGGTAGCGATCTGAAGTGGTGACCACGCAGGACTTTGCACATTACAAAACTGGTGTGTACAAGCATGTGTACGGTCGTTACATAGGCGGTCATGCTGTGAAGCTTATCGGTTGGGGAACTACAGACGATGGCGTGGATTATTGGGTGAGTGGAATTGATTTCGTTTTACAGTTGTGGACATTAGTGGGCTTGGCTTAGGGACATATATTATCAATCGGACACTTGCCGTGGCTGAAGTTTTTTTCCTTGAACTGTAGACTATCGTTAATTCCTGGAATACGAACTGGGGAGAGCACGGTCTATTCCGTATTGCGCGAGGGGGCAATGAGTGTGGCATTGAGAGCTATGCTGTAGCTGGATTGCCGTTTGATAAAGGTCTCCACTCTGCCATGTGAGATGTGCTACACCTATGATACGTGAGCGTGCGGATGCGTCTACAATACTACTGAAAATGGGCACTTAAAGCTTAGAATGTGTTCTTTCTCGGCAGGTAAGGAAACACTTCACATGGCAGCCTGTAGCACATAGACTCAGCGGACCAACAGAATGCCTCGGACCATACTGTGATATATTGTAATCTTTGCCATTGTGTAACTATATTGTGTATTATTGCGCATTAAAATTCTCTCAACAGCGTCACATAACCTCTTAGTTGAAGCATGTAGTCCTAACTTCAGTTCACATGTATATTGTTTTCGCCCAAAAAGGCTGTAACTAGCATTGTACTTTTTGTAACATCGTTATTCCTCAGGCCCAACTCAAGTGTGAAAACACAGCTTTTGAACTTCATTAATTGAAGTTAACTCACTTTACTTTCAACTTGAGAAATATACCATCCTCGGACAGCAAGAGTGAATCTTTAGAGGTATATATCCGATCCAGTATATAGTGCTCTGCACCTGCTGTGGTACCATTGACCTGTTTCTGAGATGATGGAATGAGTGAATAATTTACTAATAACTTCTACTTCTTCCCTAATCTCATCTTCCAACTTTCACATCACTTGTTGGTGTTTAAATTGTTGTACGTGCTTAAACTCAACCTACACGTGCATATACATCGTAACCCATGTAACAAAACTTATGTGCTGGAGCTTGCCTTCAAATGAGGCATGTCTTCACTTGGGTTCTCTGATCCCCACTTATCAGTTGATAATATAAAATACGTGGTATATCTCCAGTCTTCGTTACAGTTTCAGTCCTGAATCTTCCTCTGCACACGTAGTCTGTTCACTTTGCTCGGCGTGTCACCCCTTCGATACTAAATTGTTTACCCCCACATGGTTAGCTTTGCAACAAAATAACCATTTTTTCCGAAGGAAGTCCTTGCAAGTGATTTATGGTTAAAAATCCGAGTCCAGTGAGTGTTATAATTTCCTGTAAAACTATTAATCAACATAAGTATGAATGTGACCAATCAGTCACCTTGGGGCCGACGCAGCATCAGAGTTCTACAATCGTTCCCCACTTTTGATGTTGTTGGCGACCAAGATTCGCCACGTTTATGTTCTACTTCAACACCAATGTATTCGTTGTCTGGAATTTGTATTTCTCAGAGTTCAAGTAGTGTGTAATACACCAGCACAATTGGCATGAACACTATGGTCTGAAGTGACACTCTGCACAGCGTTTTTTCAGGAGGCTGATCAGAAGAAAATTGTTGTAGACATATCATGTGACCGATTATAACAGGGTTCCAAGCCTCACCTGACGATTGACTAGCAGAATGAAGCATGGCAAGGCAATCACTGGTAAGAGATGAGGGGTGAATATTTACGCAGTAGTGAAGACGTCCGTATGCAGATTGTAATCCTTAGCAAACACGAAGCTTATAACAGCCTGCGGCAACGCTGCCTGAGAAGAGAAAAGTTTTCGCATGTATTGGAGGTAGAAATCGTCAAAAAAGATTGTCAAGTACACCTCTTTAAGTACATAATAACAAATGAGATGCTGTTCTGCACATTGGAAGAAAAGCAATGTTTTGCAAGACAAGCTTCCAACCTGTAAAAATGCGAAGCGCAAGGTATCACCGCGCAATCCAAGCAGTAACGATGCGACGCCCATTGTACCAGGGCCTACTATAAAACGACAGAATGCACCATAAAAGGCAACCCACCAGGATGCAACAAGCTTCTTCTGACCCGCCATGAACAGTCCTGAGCAGTAAGCACATCGGGATTCAATTCTAGTGCCAGAACTCACAACTTGCCCTAATGAATACTACTGCACACTTCAGAAGCCCAGGAGCAAGAAGACTCTAAAAGTAGTTTACTGTATATTTAAATGTACAAATCGAAAGGGGGTTACAGCGGGTGAATGAATACCGATGGAGTACATGGTCAGCCCCAGTGTGATCCTGCCCATAATATCGAGCGAATTTCTCAAAATTCGAAGAGGATCGAAGCCCCACCTGCACTCATCACATGCAATGGTTGCACGGTAGCAGCTCAATGCGAACTAATTCAAGATACTTTTGTCTCCAAAGAGAAGCTAATCTCCTAATTGAAACAGAGTCATGCGAGTACATGACCGTGTGGAGGTTTACTACATGAGGTAGAAGCGAGACTTGGGAATTGAATACCTGCCAGCAATGAGCGAGTAGACGATTCCCATAACGGTGGCGTGAGTAAGCGGTAGCTGCACCATTTTCTTCGCAACCTTAATTGCCATCTCCTTCAAGTTCATCTGGGAGGGTGCCATCTCGTGACCGTGTTCTGTTCCATTTTCTCTCGTACCGCTCTCCCCATTCGCAACAGAAAATGAGTTTCGCTGCCGACTTCCATTCTTGACATGCTCTTCATCTTTATGGGACACTTCGGTTGCTGCATGGCTTGGTTCGTCACCAATTCCAATGCGAAAGTCGTTATGCTCACCTTGCGTCAGCAGAGCTGTTGATTGCATACACACAGACGCCCTCGAGTTGAATTTCGAATGTGGTATAGTTAATGACTAAAGCATTCACGCAGGCTCAAAAGTTCCTAGAGAAGCCAAATGAGAAAGTGTTCAAGGACTTGGAGTCTGGAGGAAGGAGAGAAGGTTCTGTAACGAACCAGGAATACCACTTTCATGACCTTCGAATCCGTGCTCTGCTGCTGATTCCGTTGTTTCACCAGAATGAAGGCTCCGAGGCCCATCATCCTGAACTTGTGCGACGGAACCCACGGCAGGCTGACCCATTTTCCTCACTTCCTTCAGTTCATAAAGAAACAGAGTGGGAAACAACCACAGGACTTGGCCTATGAAGATCGCTGCTATGCCGGATTCAGTAACGGAGTACAGCGGCGATAGCACAGGGATTCCCACGATAATTGTGTTCGGCATCACCGAGAGCTGGAATAAGGTAATCACCCAGTCGAGATTACCGCATTTTGTGCACCAAACCCACGCGCACAATCCAACTGTTCCAAATTTCAGCCACACGGCGTTAGCATGAAGTTGGAAATTTCATTCAATTTTCACTACAGATTAATGCCTCATTCACAGACAACACAGATCAGTTTGTAGTCGAAACAGACAGGGACTGCATTGGATGGTTGTGTAATAGCCCTAGATATGAACGACATCTTTCAAGCATGCTTTCCTCTGTTATCTACATGCTTATCATTGAGGAACGAATTTGAGCAGAAGTGTTGCTATAATGCGGGTGTGGTATGGCAGGAAAGGCACTCACCGAGAACGATTCCGTTAGACAAACAGTATGCAGCAATTAGGCGGTTGTTCATGGTGTAGGGGTTATTAAAAGCGATGATCTCGAAGATGAGCGGTGGCATCGCTATTAGCGCATTGAAGCGACTTATCCCTGCACTTTGCTCCGGCGTAACGACTCCCCACCATTTAAGGGACCCGTATCCAAGAAATAGGGCTACATATAGCGGCACGACGGCACAGAGTACATCGTAAAACTGACCACCTGTCAACATGACGATAACGTTGATTGTCCTCGACGACACCACAAATTCGGCCGCCAATTGCACGGCAGTGTGGGTGATGAAGTCTCGATTTCTCTTCTTGCCCACCGGGCAAATTTCACCCTCTCCTCAACGATTCTGCCAGCTTCCATATACTGTTCAGCGCAGACGTTTGTTGCGTCGGAAATCTGACACAAACATTGTCGACACAACAAACTCCCTGCTCCGTCTACTTCTGCATGGACTTGAATGGATAATCCTTAGGGTATAATCGGATCGCTTCCACCGTGCGCGCCTCGATTCTAATGGACTTGGATTCTTACTCGTGACGTTTCATAAACCACTTTCGACCTTAGTACAATGAACCTCCAATAAAATCTTCTCGACTGCACAATCAGACAATCAAGCGTAATCCAGACCGCAACATGACGACGTCAATATCCCATGGAAAGGGAATTTAAGTCGAGCTCGAAGAACCTCGAGGTGAACCGGAAAAGCCGTTCCCTTCTTGACGCTGCTACCATTTCGTAACTTGCGAAAAGAAGTATCAATTTCTCGGGTACAGGGGCTGGGTCGCTGTTCTGAAAAGGGTTCAACAGTTCGCTTGCAGGGGTTGGTGGAAGATCCTAAGCCCACACCTTTCCGTGGGGACTACGCCCAGATGCCTGTAGGAATGGTGCAGTCGCTCAAGAACCACGGCAATACGACAAGGCGTCGAGATGCCTCACTGTACAATCCCTGCTTCTCATGGCACAAGTTGCGGTGCCCGATTGAGCAAAACAACATCGCCTCTTCGAAAAAGCTCCCGCAAAACCTTCATAAAGGCGAGCACTTGCCAGCGGGTCTAGTGGTTTGCACCTGATTACCTCGTGGCCCCACGTCGCTGTGACAGTGGTCGGATGCTGCCAATGCACATGAATCCACTGCGTTGGCCGTGGCCGTGAGGCTGACTCCTCGGCGATCACAACCTTCACATGCATCTTTCAGTTCGGGACGACTATTGCTGTTTAACAGATCTCCCCTCTGCCTGTCACCTCCAGTGCACACACTGTTGAACATGTCGAGTATTGCGCCCCGAGACCTATACATAGCCGAACCTAGATATCAATAGGTTCATCGGGAATCTGCTATGGTCAAGGTTTCAACCTGACATCGGGGAACCAACTGTTTATGTGTTTCTTGCGAAATAAAACATGGAGTTGTGGTTATCTGCGATGTCCTGTTGTGGTCTTCGTGGTTAATGTGCTTATTGTGGCTTGGCTGTTTTATTGCCTTTCTATTCGTGATGTAGTGGCAGACGGATAGACTCTGAAATTATCATGGTATCAGAGCGGGTCACATAAGTACTAGGGGTAGACAGTGGGTTCCTCCGAAGAGCATGGGAACTATGGACTCCATTATCGCACAGTCCAAAATGTTGGCAAGTCTAGGTAATTATAAGGCTTGTCGTAGCACTACAGAGTGTTTTAGAAAAAGAGGATCTATGGGAAGTCGTAGCTCCAATGAAGAACTCATTTCAAAATACACAGACTAGATCTTCAATAGAGAACGATGAGGCTACCTTGGGTTCATCGTCAAGTGAATAAGGAGGCAGTGAAAGGGGAGTCGAGGAGACTTCAGCGACGACGTTCCAAGAGCGGGAGCAGGGTCGTAGGCGGAAGACACGGGCAATGGGACTTCTGCGACTTTCGCTAACCGAGATGGTAAAACCCTACATACTCCATACCTCCGATCCTGCAGTAGCTTGGGAAATATTAGCAAAGGTATACTCTACTCAGACAATAGCAGATGTGATGAAATATTGGACAGATGGGAAAATTTTAAAATGAAAGAAGAAATGCCAGTTTCAGTATTTATGTAAAACGTGTTTGACATGGTAAACGACTTGAAGAAAATCAACGAGTCCCCTTCAGATACTGTGATAGTACACAAAGTGCTCAAATGTCTACCCATGAAGTATGAGATTTTTGTGAGAATCCTGCGAACCGAGAAGGAAACCCCGTCCCTCGCAAGCCTAGCAAGCAAGTTTCACATTGAGGAAACGGAGATGGCTCTTAGAGCGGAAATTAATGAAGAGGCTCTTGTTTTCAAGATCAGAAATCTGCTAAGGGGCAGGTAGAAACCTTCTTTCGGGGAGAAATCATCAAATGATTTTCAAACACAAGCTCGCAGAGAACCATCTTCACAACGCTCAAACAACAGAAATCTTGAGTAGCGACGGGAGCACCGATTTGATCAGCGATGGCACCGGTGTGGTAAATTGGGACATATCGCGAGGTTCTGTCGAGCCGCAGAACCACAATCCACTGATCGATACAAGCTCAGAGCTGATCTTTCGAAAGAAACTGTTGGGGAATCTTACCCCACATCACGAGAAATCCAAGAGGCAATGAACGTACTCTCCGTAGCCTCTTTGCATGACAAAGGGTAATTGACTGTGGAGCGTCTAGACGTTTCACCAGGGATAAAGAATTCTTCTCTAGCATCAAGGACCCATCTCACCAGCAGTTCGTAGCAATGGCAGATGGTAGGATGCATACCGTAAAAGGGCAGGGAGATGTACAACTTTTCGATACAACAAATGAAATAAATCTCAAGAGTGTTTTGTATATATTGGGCCTAAGGCAGAACTTGCTCTCCGTGGGACAATTTGTATGAAATAATAGGCAAACTTTAATATTCGAAAAAGAGAAATGTATTGCTATTTCTGATTCTTATCCAAAACAGTTCACCGACATCGGGCACTAGAACAGTAAGTCTCGGCTGTACAAGCTTACCCTTGACAATCGCGACAGTTGCAAATCAAAATCTGATTTGTACTATTATCAGGATATTAACAAAACCGACTGTACGGCCTATATGCCTGTAGTATCAGAAGCAAATAAAGGAGCATGTAATATCTTGTCAACCGAAGGCAAGCTGGAATTGTAAAATTCTGAAACTCCCCAAGACATCTCTCGATGAGACTGACATTATTACAATTACAGAGACACAGATTTATGAGCCACCTATATTAATACAAAATGGGAATGAGTAGTCACTCCTCCAGTGGCATTGCCGCCTAGGTCATGCAAGTTTTCACACTGTCTTTATTAAATTCTGAAGAGTTACTGAAATTTAAGACAGAAGGAATACAATGCCAGCAATGCCTTGACGGAAGACAGAGAAGAAATCCAATACCTGAAGAAAGTACTACTAGATCAAGCAAAAGATTGGACTTGACTCATATGGATTTATGTGGTCCCTTGCTAGTGGCTTCACTATGAGGTACAAGGGGCTTTACTATGAGGTACAAGGTATTTTATCCTTCTAGTTGATGATTACTCTAGGAAGAGTTGGATTTATTTTCTCAAAGAGAAGAAACAAACTCTTGAGAATTTCAAAGAATTCAAAACTATGATTGAGAAACAAATAGGAAATTTTATCAAGTGATTAAGAACAAACAATGGAAGAGAATTCACAACACAAACCTTCTCAAAATTTTGTATTGACAATGGAATCATTTGACAATTCATGCAACCTTATACTTCTCATCAAAATGGAGTAGTGGAAAGAAGAAATAGATCTATTTTAGACAAGACATGGTGCATATTGCTATTAGAGAAACTACTTTCATTCTTATGGCAAGAAGTGACAAAAATCACAATATTTTTATTAAATAGATTACCAATATGAATAAATGATTCTAACAAATTACCAATAGAGTTATTTCCAAGTACTAAACCTCAACTGAGCTACTTAAAAGTGTTGGGATGTTTATCACATATGCACATAGGACAATGTTCAAGAAATAAATTACAATCATATTCAAGCATTGGCAGTTTTGTAGACTATGATGAACAAACAAAAGAATATTGTATCTATCTACATTAGTTAAAAAAAAATATTATATTAAGAGATGTCATTTTTGAAGAAATGAAGTTCAAAGTTTATAGCACATTATTATGAAATGATGAAAAGATAAGCAAAAATTATGTAAAATTTCTACAACTAAGGAGAATAATAATTAGATTGATAATAATCAAGATTCCATAGAAGAAGAAATATGAAATCAAAGGACCTCACAAGGTAATAACTCTCTTGATATGAAATATCCTTGACACCATCAACAATCATAGAAATTATTCATATTACATCATCATCTAGTACTCCAAACATCAATTCAGTTTTTAATTATACATGGGAGATAGAAACAGATGAATGGTTCATAAATAAAACTCACAATGATGTTTCTTCTAATGAGCCAAAAGATTCTTTAATTTCTTTAAATTCTAAATATTAGCCAATTTGGCCTTTATCAACCATCATAAGAGATAGACAACAAATAAGCATTCCAATATAGATGAGTGAATATTTTGCAAGCCTAAGGACAATATTTGATTTGGAACTAACAACCTATTAAGAAGGAGTATATCACTAAGGTTGAAAAGAAGCTATGGTTGATGAAATAGAATCTATTTATAAAATAATACATAGCTTCTCACAAGTCTTCTTCTAAATAAATTTGTAATTTCTATAAAATAGATTTATAAAGCAAAATTAAATGTACATGGATGACCACAAAACTATAAAGTTAGACTTATAGCAAGGTGCTTTGAATAAAAAGAAGGAATTGATTACAAGGAAATTTTTGTGTCCATTGTCAAATAAGTAACAATTAGGGCCATGATATCCATAGTAGCTCAAAAAAATTAGAAATTATATCATATGGATATTTAAACTGCCTTTCTATATGGAAATTAAAAAAAAAAAGTGTATATTATTTAACCTCAAGGATTTATAATACCCAAAAAAAAAAAAAAAAAAAAAAAAAAAACTTAGTGTGCAAATTACAAAAGGCATTCTGTAGAATACAATAAACACCTAGAGCTTAGTATGAAAAAATTGACTCCTATCTAAAAAAACTAGATTTCAATAAGAAAATGATAATCACAACTTATATTTAAGAAAATTACAAGGTTATATTATTCTTACTATATTATATATTGATAATTTTCTAATGATAGAAAGTAATATAAAAAATATGACTAAATTCAAAAATTTATTATATAACAAATTTGAAATGCTAGAACTATTTGAAGAAGCAATAACACTTTATTTGAAATTGAAATATATACAAGTGAAAGAGAGAATCTTTATAATTCAAAAAGAATATACATACAATATATTGACAACTTTGAGAACAAAAAATTGTGCATTTCCATCAATTCCAGTGGATGATAAATTAAAATTCAAGGTAAATATGAAAGAAGAAGTAAATCCAATATTATATTGGAGTATTGTAGGAAAATGTCTCTACTTAATCCATAGTCGTCATGACATTCAATTTTCCATAAGAATTGTCAATCAATTCATGGTAAGGCCACAATAATCTTATTTACAAGTAGCCAAAGGAATATTATAATATATTTAAAATAGACAAGGCTATAGTTTATTATATTATAACAACAATGTCATTAACCTTTTTGGATATGTAGATTTGAATAGAGTAGGAAAAATAGAAAAATGAAGGTCTATAACTAATTTTATATTTAATATTAGTATAACATCAATTTCATGGTCTTCATGGAAACAACCAATGGTTGTCCTATTTTCTTCAAAAGTCAAATAGAAAGTTCTAACAGATGGTTCTTGAGAAGCTATTTGGTTTACAATGTTGCTTCAAGATCTACAAATGCAAATGCACCTTCCAATAACTATATGTTATGACAATGCTAACTATATTTGCATAGCCACAAATCTAAGAGTTAATCCAAGAACTTCTCATATTGAAGAACACTATCATTTTACAATAGAGAAAATACAATGAGGGAAAATCAATCTTCAATATGTACCTACTTTAGCACAAGTAGCTAATATTTTTACAAAACCTCTCAGACAAACTTTATTTGGGAAATTCCAAGAAAAAATCAATGTCACAAGTCTACTTAGTATAATCAAATTTTAAGCAAAAAATAAACAAAGAATAAAAAAATAAATGGTACATAATTTTTATATTGAATTTATTTTCTTTTGGATTTTTTTACTGTTATATTATTTATTTTTATTTTTAATTTGTATTGATCTCTTCAAATAAGTTGTTACAATTTTAAAGATAATTTGGACTTGTGGCATGATATTTATATATTGGAGGAATGTGAGTTCAATTTATTTCATAATTTTAATTGTGGTTTTTATAT